CACTAAAAAAGAGGCTACAATTCTATTTGTTAATGCTCTTAAAGCCTTATATTATAAAAAGTTGATTAGAAATACTAAGAATTTTGCTAATAATTTGATTTTTGGAGAGATAATAAAGAATGCAATCAATAATGGCAAACTTAAGTGAAGTGATACAAATGATGTAAAGAAAGATGATGTGCCAAAAAATAAGGAAAAATATGCTCAAGCAGTGATTTATAAAAGGCAATAAATAGGTTGAAAGCTTTATTCCATAGCAACCTTATTCAATGTACTTACCTTATTACCCTTCTATAAACAACCTTTCCTAAAATCTTTATCTTTATCAACCTATGCAGTAATTAGGCTTTCATTTAGATACTTATTACTAGACAACTACCACTCAATTTGCTACCTAATTAGTGAGCAATCAAATAAGATCAAGGAATAATCAAAAGAGAATTCCAATCCTAATTCCTAACCATTTACCTTTACTAATAAAGCATCAATTTTTCACCCTTGTTCATTTGAAAACAACTCTAAATCTATCAACAAAAAGCTATGATTTGAATGGTTGATGTGATTATCACATTGGGGTAATTAGAAACTCAACTAAAAAGATGTAGAAAACTAAAAGAGATGATCAAAATCTCATCAATAATGGCACATTGAATATGGAATTTATGAAGCAATGGAAATTTAATTTGCAATAGATTAAATTTTCTTTTGGATCTGAAGTATCAAACAATTTATTTGTGGGAAGATTTCAAAATTATGAGTTTTTGCCTAAGTTTTGCTTTCAATTCTGTTTGCATATAAATTCTTTCATAACTTGTGAAATAATCTTAAGGGAATTGGTAATTATTATCAAGAATAAACATACCCAGATGTGTTACTACTCATGTTATACCCCAATTTAGTTGAAAACTACACTACTCAAAAAATGGATTGCCTATACTTCATAACCCTTACTTTCACTTGACTAAGAAAGATATCATTAATCTTTATTAAGGCTATAGTAATGAAATTTGTAAAATCTTTTTAAAAATTCTTTGTAAGCCAATACAGGAGACATTCGTTTAAAATTCAAAATTTTGATAATTTGATAAATGTTAAGTCTATCCCAAACACATCATTACCTAACTTATCTTTTCAATAATGAAAGAGCTACATTTTTATCCAACATCTTGACTTTTTTTTCAATCTATTATCCTCTACTCACATTTATCTTTTTGATTCATGCAACAATAATTAGGCCTTCATTCAATATAACAAATTAAGATGATACATAAGTTGCAAAAAAAAAAAAAATTTGATTGTAACATCATGTATATGAAACATTCAAATGATTCAAAAACAATAAAAAAATTTTTTCTTGAGAATCGATTTTCAATGAAATGTTTACAATTTATATGAGATATGGCTATTTTTCATATACCCTTCACAAAGTTGAATTCTTTCTTAAGAGATTTTAATTAAGAATCACCCTTTACACTTGTGAGCAAGTTTGAATATGGATCTTTTTGAGAAAGTATTATATCCAAAGTTAAAGATAAGAAAGAATACCTACAGTAAAAAAGCAAGTTCTAAAATTTTGGACTTAATTTGTTAAAAAGTGGAAACATGAAAGAAAAAAAATGAGATGGAATGAAAAAAAAGAGAAAAACAAAGATGAAAAAATATGGAAAGGAAAATGTCTTTGAGAAAAGAAATAATTTTTGGTTTGATTATTTTTAAATAATTTTTTAGGTCTAGTTATCCTTTTTTTCATAATCCTAAAACTCAAGCCTATGTTACGTCTTTTGAAAAATCTATTTTGATCAAGTGTGGATATCTAAATTGAATAACTTTTCTTTAGGAAATCACCATCACTTTTTTATTGTGAATGAACTTTAAGTTTTCAAATACATGATGAAATAATAAAAAAATGGAAAAAAGAAGAAAAAAAAAGATTGAATGAAACTCTATGATAAAAACTTGAAAAGGTAGTCTTAAATGAGATTAAAATTTTGAAAGTAACTCAAGCAATTTAATTAGAGGAAGGGATTTTGAATGAACAATGAAAACCTTTAAGAAATCCAATAAGATGAAACCCTAATCTGAAGATTTGTTTTGAAATTTAAGTCTTTCTTTCTTTCCTAGAAATTTTGAGCCTATTACAATTAGTCTTGACATTTTTTAAAATACCATATCAAGAAATTAACAGAGTGTAAAAATGGATTGTGGTTTAAAGATAAGTTTTCATTTATGAGCCTAGATGAAGAAATATTGATTTGTTTTTCCATCCAGTGGCAAAATCTCCTTTGATAATTAAGATCTTAATGTGTCAAACCATTTTACCCTTTCGAATAGACCAAGTTGAGATTTAACTTTATCATTCTATATAGCAATCACCAATTTTTAAGAAATTCATTCACATATTTTCAAAAGAATATGCATTTTTGGATTATGGAATAGTTATGTGAGGTAATTTCTTTTGTTGTCATATTACAGCATTTGTAGTGAAAACATTTATATTTGAATTGACATGAATTGGTGTGGATAAAAAATATGTAATTTTCAATATCATAAAAATGACTATTTTAAGGAAAATGTCTAAGTTTAAGGATTTGAGAAGATCCGTGGATAAGAGGAATAGTTTTGAAAAATGAAATGCTTCGAGTTAAAAGAAATTGGAGGAAAACTTGATAACCGTTTTACCACAATCAAAGATGCATGATGTCGGCTTTTACTTGGCATTACATTCATGTCATGCATTTCATTCATTGCATATTTAGTTTTAACTGTGGATTTAGACTTTTAAAGGTTGAAAATTTTGAAATATAAGATTTTGAATCTCAATTGAGCAATTTTTTTTTAGAATGAGATTTTAATTTTTGATTAAGGACAAATTTTCATGACAAAGTGATAAGTTTTGGTTAAGAAAAACTTTCAAAATAAAATTTGTAAAAGTATTGAGCCTTGATAAGTGAAACATGTTTCAAGATAAGATGTTTTTATTTCAGAAGAGATTTTTCTAAGTTTCAAAACCTCTATTAAGAATGAGCTTTTTCAAATATGAAAATAATCTATAAGATCCCAGGACATGATTCTTAAGACCTCTGGGTACCTTTTTAGATTTGATTTTAAAGTTTCAAAACATCTATTAAAGAGGAGCTTTTTCAAATATGAGAATGATCTATAAAACCTCAGTGCATGATCCTTAAAACCTCTAAATGCTTTTTAGATTTGATGTTTAAGTTTCAAAGCCTTTATTACAAAGGAGCTTTTTTAAAGATGAGAATGATTTATTAGACCTCAAGGCATTATCTACAAGACTTTTGAGTATGATTTATAAGACCTCCGAGAATAATCTCTAAGACCTCCTAACATAATCTCTAAGATCTCAAAGCATGATCTATAAGACTTTAGGATATGATCTAAAAGACCTCCAGGCATGATTTTTAAAAAAAAATTGAAAATCTTTTCCAAAACTACAAGTTATCATATTTAAAACCTTCGGGTATCATTTCAAAACTACCTCTAGGTATCATTTTTAAAAACCTCTTAGTATCATTTCAAAACCTCCAAGTATCATTTTTAAAAACCTCTAAATGTCATCTTTAAAACCTTCAGGCATTATCTTTAAAATCTCTAGGTACTTCGTTAAATCATGCATGTATCATTTTCAAAACCTTTAGATACATTTTTAGGTGTATTGTTAAAACCTCAAGATAAAATTTGTGAAGATCTCTAAATCAATTTTTGAATTTATTCAATTAATATTTTTAAAGTTTCAAAACCTCTGCTGAGAAGAGTTTTTTCAATTTTTCTTTGACTCGAACAAAATGAATGTCTTTTGTCTTTATACAATTCCTATTTCATAAAAAATGTACAAAAAGAGATAACTGTAGACACTCTATTTTGTCCAAGGTCTTTTTAATATTGTTAGGTCTCGAATTGTATTTTGATATTGGGTTTTAAAAGTTACTTTTTAAGCCCAAATTTAAAGACCCTAAAGTGTTTTTTATTTTTTGTTATTTGGTAAAAAAAATAAACTTTGATTTTTTAAAGATTGTGATTTTATTTAGATTTGAAATTTAAAGATTGAGTTTGATTTTGTTAATTCTTCGAAATCAAGTTTCTGCAAGGAAAAAAATTTTTGACAACATCTTGATAAATTCAATTAGCACTAAAATTTTCTAAATTAAAAAGGGAATCAATCCTTAATAAAGAGCCCAATTCTCGAGGAGAAAGAACCAATAATCAAAGAATCAACAAGCAATTAAGATAATTAGAATCATCAAGCAACACAAAGTTTTGAGTTTCAAAGGAGTAGTTTTTAAGCTAGAAAGAGAAAAGAGAAGGAAATTCTGAAGGCCTTAGTTTTTTGGCTTAAACATTAAATGCAAACCACATTGTTTAGAGAAAGCTCAACTCCGCCTAAATCTGTTTAACCCATTTCTTGACCAGACCCAATCATAGATTTTCTTTTTATTTTTTATTTTTAATTTTAATTTTTTAGTTCTTTTTTTTATGTTTTAGTACTTTTAATTGTGATTGAATTAAAAGTGATGAGAAAAAGAAAAAAAAAAACTCTGATAGGATTGTTATTATTATATTTATTTATGTGGTTTTTATTATATTTATTTGCATGATTTATTATGATATTTTTGCATGATATTTTGAATTGGAATTTATTTATTTGCATTATATATTATGATTTATTTTTGCATGATTATTTTGGCATAATATTTATTATGATATTTTCATGATCTATTTTGCATGTTTTAATTATAATATTATTGCATGATTTTTTCTATGGTGTTTGCTATAGAATTTTTTTATAACAATATTTTGTGAATAAATAAAAGGAATTTGAATTTAATAAGATATTTAATAAATCCGACTACAAAGTCTTTTTAAGTAAACAACGAATTTATCTTAAATACTCTTGAGGTGAAAAAAATCTCTTTTTTGGTAAAAGATTAAAAAAAAATTTTCAATATTCAAATATCAAAATCAATAAAAACCATATTTGATTAAAACTTAAATAAAATAACATAAGATTAATTTGGTATCAATTTTGGGTGTAATAGGGTGCTAAAACTTTTGTTGCACGTAACTGACTCCCGAACTTAATTTTATTGATGTAAACCATAACCTATTTTTTTAAAAAGACCCTTAGCTTAAACTTAGAATAACTTTAAAAGGGTTAGATTTACATAGGTAACTAATCACATCTAGATAAAAAAGATTGGTAGCAACTCTACATTTTTTTTATATCTAATAAACAGGTTCTCGAACTTGAATATTATGACAAAGTTCAATAACTAATATCACTAAATAAGTGATAAAAGTTGACATGCTACACCTATATATATTTAACCTAAATGTGTCTTTACAAAAATAAAACACAAGACTACACTAACAAATATGAAACACAACCTTGCACCAGAGGCCATAATCTTAACAAAGTTTTATAATAGGATTAGCAACCAATCAACAAAAGAAAAAAGGATGAATCATAGGATTTTGTTTGTCATATCTGACACTATAATAAGATCCTCATGTTAATTTATCATATATAAGATCCTCATGTAAGATATCAACCAATTAACCCATATAAGTTATCTAAGAAGTATTAAAAACATACCTTTTCAATTGGACTCCTAATGAGAAATGTCATGCCATGTCAACAGTTCATCAGTATCACTATCAGCATTATTATGCTCATTAAAGTGCAATGCTTCGTCCTTAATCCTTGCAAGTGCTGACTAGATTCAATATAAAGATTAGTACAAGGAAACATGGGACATTTGTGGACTTTGCTAACCAACAATTCCTCGTTGCTCTTGCTAATGCTTATGTAAAACTATTAAGTATTCATATGTGTTGATTCCCTAAGGCATATGCAAGAATGACCTAATTAGCTCATTAGCTTTTTTCTTTCTTTCTTTAACTTTAAATACTCATTAGGATTTGACTTGTGCAAGATAAGACAAAAAGAATTATGAAGCCTTCACCCACTATAGAGTACTAAAACAAAAATAACTTTCACGTGGTAGAAAACTTTTGGCAAGCTTACCTTTTTTATGAGTAGAATGTGAAATAAGAAAAGTTGTTTAAGAGGTAATGTTACAATAATAGCCAAAATGTTGCACAAAACCTGTAAAAGTAAAAAATTACACTACTTAGCTCAACATTTTAAATTGAAAGGTTCTAGTAATTAAAAGATTTGTTTTTATGATCTCATAAATGCTAAAGTAAGCTGAAAAGATAATTTTGAAATTGGTGATATATAGACTTGAATAGTACCAATGTAATTTAAACAAAAAAAAAGATGAGGAAATAAGGATTAATGTAAATATTAATGGAACACTTACAACCACAATAACAAATGGAACCAGAGAGAAAATGCTTCCCAAGTTTGATGAAATATCCAAGGAAAATGGTTTCCTCTAAATAGTAGATAAGTACAAGGAAGGATTCCAGTTAACCATTGTAGAATAGGCTGCATTCTTAAGCCCAAGCTGGACAAACCATGAATATACATGTCAATATTCAATTAAAATGAAAATGACTAAAAAATAAAAGGCATACTCTCGGTTTCCTTCGTTTCTAGCAACTGTGGAATCATGACAGCAATCTAATGATGTTATACGGCATAAGAATTATTCATGAATTTGGCATTTGATTAGAATATACGAGGACAAGAGAATAGAGGCTAATTCTAAGGTCCAAATTGAGCAACAAAACATTGTTTATTGATTTTTGGAATGCTGATAACAAGAAAACCAGCTAATATTGTTGTTACCATCTAACAAGCTTAGTGTTATCTTTCTTAAAGATCAGGACCTGAGATGTTTCTAAAGAAGAGTTTAGCTATAAAGGAATCTAGGATCTCAAAGAAATATACAACATTATATAATGTAATTTGATGATTTTGATATGATCTGAAGACAGAAAATGGAAACATTTGCTTACCAATAGAGTAGCAGAAACCATAAGAGTGAAAATTTGTCGGTAGTTACCTTTACCTATGCAATTGTTTAGCCACCACAAAAAACCAAAGGGAATAAAAGAAGTATTAGCATAATTATTGATAAAGGGAATAAACAGCATAATTTTGTAGAGTTTCAATAAGCTCCTTCTTCCCACAAGTCCCAAGATGAAAGTAAGAAAGCCAGGAGCAATCACAAGAATTAAACATTGAAAGTCAATAAATACTCGTACTGACTATAAAACATGAACAAACCAAACTCTGTAATTTGCCAGGGAAATATACAAGTATCAGTAGGAAGTAGCAATTATAGAGCCAATAAGTTAGATTCTAGTTATGAATATAATCATTAAATTTCAAAACTCAACAGAGTCTTCTGCTAGCCAAGGCAACCATGTAATAACAATTCATTGGTATAATCACATTTTGGGAAAAGGGGATGGTTGAGCAAAGGTTTTTTCAATGTTCATTAAAATACATATTGTCAAACACATTAGTAATGGAGACAATCTGCTCAACCAATACAAGATCTCTGAAAGTTTTTTTCAAACACATTCAAGACATCAAAAACATATTACACTTATTGTCAAATGGAGAAAATAATTAATTAATAACGATTAAAGAAAATGTACCTTCCAAACTGTTACACGTAAACCTCCTCTGTCAGGAAGTCATATGCTAGCAATTCCTTGTAATTTTTCCAAATTTAACTCCATCTGGTAAATCTGAATTATTGATTGTGAAATTTCTGCAAACATACAAATCGTTCAAGTAATAATAGTTAGCAAAGTTCATGATATCGTCCCACAAGGGTGAGCTAAAGAAGACTTAGTCTAACTATTTAGTATCCCCACAATTCCTCTAAAGTTGATTCAATCGAAAGGTGTATACAAGTCTAAGCTAACAAGAACAACTAAATAAAAAAAATAAGCAAAACATGTTTCTAACAAAAAGAAAATCTATAACATATAAGGTATGTAAACTATAAAAATTAACCAAAACAGTAGCTAAAGTAACTTGAATTGAATATGGTTCTAAGCTAGGAAATCAAAAATAGAAAGTTCAAGTAACAACCAAACAGTAGCTTAGAAGGATAAACCAAAAATAACTAACTAGTAACTAAAAATAACTAAAACAAGAGAAAAATCTAGAAACTTACTAATTGATCTAAACAACTTCTGAATTGCAAAAAAAGTAAGTAAACTAAGATCTAAATAGAATTGAAAGTTATTTGAAGAAGCAAAATCACAAATCTAGCAAGGACAAGTAAAATCGAAAGCTAAAATTCAAATATGGAAGTTATCAATCTTGAAGAGAAAAATTAGATCTTCACTTCTAAAAGTTGAATGAATTGGAACTGAGCTAAAGTAATCTAGAACTACAAGTTTACCATCTAAATAAACAAAAAAATCGCAAGAAACAATCAAACAAAGCTCAATGAAGTAGATCAAAAACTGCATAGCATAAAGAACAAAAACAAAGCAGTTATAAGAAATTATCCAAATAGAATTGAAATTAATGGAATTAAAAGCAAGTAAATGAAACTAAGCAAGTAAACATATGAATCAAGAGGTACAAAGTGAGAAAAGAATAAACCAATCTCTTTGCTAGGAGATGAGAATTTTGAAGTACTGTCACTCACTCAAGCTTTAACTTAGCTTCTGGATTTGATCAAAATTTTCAAAAATTTTCAAAAATTTTCTAGTATTTTGTATAGCAAATTTGAATATGATCTTTTTCAAATTTATAGAGGTATGAATCAAGAATCCACAAAAAAAATTTTGGATTAAATCTTGCAAGAATTGATTGAGATCCAATGGAAAAATTGCCAGTTATTTAGATGCAAAACTAGTCAAACATATTTGAGATTCAATAGAAATTACAAGAAATTGAACTTAAAATCTTAAAAAACATAAACTTTTATTAAAAGATTCTTAAAGTGCATATAAAATAAAGGTAAGAAAAGTAAATTTTTTTGAAAAATTAAAGTAATTTTCTCCCAAACAACCCTCTAAAAAAATGAGGAAACTGTTGGAAAAAAAATAAAGTAAAATGCAAGAAAATAAAAAATATGAAAAATATGGAAAAAAAAAAAAAAAGTCTCTCCAAATGGCCAGCTAACCCTCCTACTTATAGGCCAAAGGTGAGGTGTTTCAATCAATCAAAATGTAACAAAATGTCAACTAAGCTACCACATCTTCTAGAGTCTTTTCAAGTCATCTACCTAGCTCCCTTAACTTCTTTGTTAGCTTCTTTTTACTTCACTTGACTTCAAGCTTCCTTCCTTGGATCTTTCAAGTTCCCAAAAGTCAACATTATGTCCAATAAGAAGTCTTAAAATTGTCACCTAAGCTACCCATTTGCTCCCTTTTTGAATGCTAGGATTGGCGCCACAAGATTGATCATCAATCAAATGCATTACATAGCCTGTAGTGAATTCCTTTGCTTCCCTTTTTGGCACCAAATGAGGACCATTTAGTTGCTAATTTGTCCATGAAAAATTCTTAGCCCCAAATGTCGCCTCAAACCGCACCAATGCAATAGTCACCAAACTAGCACATGCAAAAATACTACAAAAATGATAAAGTACTAATGAGCTAAAAATAATATTTTCTCATGAAAAATATAAAGATTAAAGCTTGAAATAAAGTTTAATTAAACTCAAGTAAGCTAAGAAAATCATAGAAGGAAAGGATATAAAAATCTCTCATGAACGGCAATAGAAGCACATACATGCTAATTTCGGCCTTCCATAGCTTTTTGCACCAAAATACATCCAAAATAAGTTCAAAAGCTCCAAATTTCCTTTTTTTTTCATATTTTTACCTACACAATGAATATTTATACATTTAAGAATATTTTTGCCAATTTTCTTAAGAAATAAGCAAATATTCAAAAGAAATTGCACTAAAAAGATAAAATACTAAAATTTTAATGCAATCAATTACACAAAAAATAAAAATAAAAATTTAAAGACAATCACATTTGTAATGAAACAAACAGATTGAGGCAATTTCACATCTAAACCAAAACCATGCCTTTGAAGTATATAAATTATACTACACAAATAAAAGCAAGAAATGAGATAAGACAACTAGTTTTGAGAAAGTGACTATTGTTAGATTAGGGCAAAGCAAGGTTTGACGAAAAGTAGATTTGTGAGTGTAAGCACATTGAGAATGACTCTTAAAAGCTGGTTAAACAGAGAGAGATGATCTGATGCATCCTGCCATCGACATTTTTCTAGGCAGCCCTAATTCTTGCGTTAATTTTGGAGATCATTTCTGAAAATGCAGGAGGATTTAATTTTTCTTCTAAAAATATGATCGCTTTTGAAAGTGAATAAGCTAAATAATTGTTAGCTAGGTTTTTGTGAAAAACCAAAATATTGCTCGATTCATAAGAAAATCAAAATCAAAATAGAGAATGATTTTGGTGAAACAACCTGGGAAGAAACGATGGTGTTAGTGACAAAATGCCGATGTTGACGCAGCTGACGATGATGACGATGAGAAGAAAAAGTAAAGGTTTGATTTTTAAATTAGGAGAAATGATTTAAGTTTGATTCAAAAAAAAAAAAAGACTAGAGAGAGCTTTTGATTTATTATTTGAGAAGAAGCAAATTTAGAAAGCAAAAGGAACCTCGGTCTCCTTTCCTTGCAAGGAAATCTCATGATGGGTAGAATGAATGTGGGTTTGATTAAAAATGGAAAAACCAGCAGTGTTAAAGTGTGGGTCAAAGTGTGGCTGTGACATTACAACTTTCGTTAATTTTTGGTGGCTTTCTTTAAGCCGGGAAAAACCAATTAAAAAATTAAAAAAATAATAATACCGATAAGAAATTTTTGTAATGAGTGAAGGTGTGATCGATTGAGTTTGAATCGATATAATATTAAGTTTAAATTTGATTTAAAATTTAAAATTAAAAATTCAGTTCGAACTCGATCGAATTTTATTTTATAATTTGAACTTAATTCAAAATAAAAATCGAGTTACTTGAACTCACTTAATTATGTTTGATTAATATGTAAAAATAAAATTGATTTTTATATTTAACAAAAACTTAATTATTTGTGCTCAAATTTTAAGTTCGAGATATTTCATTAATTAAGATAATAAAAATATATTTAGATGTAAAAACTTAATTAGGTTCATTAGTTATTTAAATTGGGTGTAAGAAAGCTCAAATTCAATTCGATGAGTCGAATTACTTTAATTTAAACTAGATTCGATAATAATTAAATTAAATTTAAATTTTATTTAAATCGAATTTAAATAATTTTTATATATTAATGTATCATTTATACATCTAATAATGAAAGAAGTAAATACATGATTTAACTATTTATTCCACACGATAAAATCACCCCACTTTCATCCCTCCTAATAAAGGTGTCAAATTTAAATAATAAGATGGATTGGATTAAAAAAAAAAAAAAAAAATGAAAGTAATATAATTTAAAATTTTAATTAAAATTATATAAATTTAATAAAAATAAAAATATATGTTAAGGTCTAAACATCCATTCTCTCCCTGTACTATTTTGATGATCGTATATGTCTCTTTATTCTCTTACAATATACCGACTTGATTGTTGCAAGATTTTCCTAGTACAAATCCCGAAATCTCTAACCCTCTTTACCTGCAAATCTTTCAATTATGCACCGTAAAAAAACCAAGAGAAATTTTGACCTAAACTCTGCAGTTTCAAATTGTTTCTCTCTGCCACTAAATTTTGTGTCAATAAGTTAGACAACCAACAGAAGAAGCAAAAAAAAAAAAAAAAGGATAGGGGCCAGGGGATGGAAGAAAAAAAAAAGCCAAATAAATTCATGATTGATTTCTTACTAATTATGACTGCTGCATGTGTTTTAAGCTGAATAGAATTGATACAAGGATTATAGATTTGAGTTGGGTCTGACTAAAAAAAATTTTGGCATGTATATCGCTTTAGTACATTAGAACAAATTTATATTAAAAAAATTTAAAATATCTACGCTGACAAAGCTTAAAATGGCTACTTGACTGCTGATATTGTCCGACTGGAACGATTCCTGGCTCCATTCTGGCAACACAGCATTGCAAGATATGACCATGAAGTGTACTGCCACGTGGCACCTTCTTTTCATCAGAACGTGGGATTGTTCCTATTTTTTTATAAGAAAGCCTACTGTCCTTCACGAAGTCAGTGGAGAAACCATTTGGCTGTAATCCTACATCTATGCTTACTAACAATTGAAATTATCTCTTTCTGTCAATTAATGCTTAGCTCATGTTTATCTATTATAGACAGAAGCTTCTCGCAGGCAAAGACTTTCAAGACTGAAAAAAAGGCTGAAACTTTTAAAGATACAAGCTTTTGGAGACTGACATAAGTGAAATGAAAAAGCAAGAGAACGAGAAGGAAAAAGGAATAATAAAAAAGAGGGGAAGAGGAAATCAGTCGCCAACTTCCATTAAAGCTTGGAGATTAACAATGATTAAAGGCTACATTTATTTCGCAAAAAATCATTTTTAAAAAATAATATTTGAAAAATAATTATATTTTTTTAATTGAAAAAAAAATTATTGTTTGAATGAATTAATGAAAAATATTTTTTATTATTTTATTTTTTAAAATATATTTTTTAAATCATATTTATATAATTATTAAAATATTAAAAATTATTTATAATTAAAGTATACTAAACTATTTATTATTAAAATTATTAATACTCAAAAATAATTATATTTTTATAATAATATTTAATATTAAAATATTATATTAATATAAAAATATTAAATAAAACTATTTATTGTTCTTTATATATTTATTAATATATTAATATATTATATTTACTAGTATATTATTTATTAATAATTATATTATTTATTAATATAATATTATTTATAAGTAAAATTATACTAAAAAATATTGATAAATAATTCTACTCAAAATAATTCTTTTTTAAAAATATATTTTCCCTTTTAAATTGATAAAATAATTTTTTTAAAAATAACTTTATTTTTGTTGACTATTAAATTATTTTTTATTGACTAATTAATTTTTTGTCAAATAAATACCTTAAAAAATACAAAATTTATTTTTTAAAATCATTTTCTACAAAACAAACGAAGCCTAAATAAACTTTTCAATTTTTTCAGTTACTACTTTAGGTATTCACATCTCTAATCTCATCCTTTGCCCTGTCTTTCTCATATGAATATAAATTATCGCTCCCACCTCTTTTCTGTTTTCTATGTTTCTGGAATATCAAGCTAAAAATAAAGGAGATGGATACAGATTTTCTTTGATTCATGTGAGAAAAAACTGAAAAAGCCTAGTGATGAAAAATCAAAATCTGTTTAATATTGAGCTTTTAGGATTTTTGCTTTTCTCATGTATATATATATATATATGTTGTAGGATAAATTGAAAATTGTAATCAAATTTTCTTTTTAAAAAATTGCAATCGAAACAGTGAAGTCTGTAAAACTCCATTCATTCAGCCCACATCTAAGAAATTTCTTCCCAAAATCTTTTTTTTTTTAATTTTTTGCTTAAGTTTTTATACTGGCACTCTTCCGAGCTGACCCGTCAGTCAGCCAAACTCCAAAAGTTTAACCCTTCGATTAGGCCAGGTATGAGAGTTGTACCCGTTGTGGCTGCAATGCGAGCAGCAAAGCATCATTTTCAAGGTTGGGTAGGTTTTTTTTTGAATCAGATCAAACAGGAAAATAAAAAGATAGATATGAATCAGATCTTTGAGAATTCGGATCCGAACTGATGAGAGTCAGGACTTCGCTTTTGAAGAAAAGAATTCTTTATTTGACTCCTCCCTCCGGCAACGTTTGCAGATGCGAGAGAGAAAGAACGACAGACAATATCCATATATCATGTTTTTATTGCAGAAGAAATAATATGATCTGGAGCTTCGTGGTTTTTAGCCGTTTATTTGGTAAAAATTGGTGTGACATGATATGCGTTTGGTGTGGGGATTTGTTTGTTTTCCCAAAATTTGGGAGTTGACATCAACATGAGTCCGCCGTTCTGCAACCATATTTTGTTCTTCTTTAACAATAAATTTTAGTTCTATGTTGTCTCTCCATTTTTAAGACAAAATTTTAAGCAAATAGTTACCAAAATGAAGCAGATATTAGTTTTGAATTATATTATTTTTCTTTTAAATACATCGACGCTACCCAGCTGTCGCACCTCACCAACCATGCAACCTAGGCAACACCCACCTCTGCCTTATTTTTCGCTATAATTTTAACAATTCCCTCATTATTTAATGCTTAGGATTTTTGTTTTAAATTACTTTATTATGCATCTAAATTATGGTTATTGGCAGTACCAATTTGTTATGTTTAGATTCCTATCCAAAAAGATTTAAGGTTATTTAGATGTTGTTTACATGCAACATTTAACTGGAATTTATGAAGTGATACTTGATTTTGTTCAAGAGATCTTTCAGGCTGTGGGCAACATGATTTGATATATCAAGAGCTCTCGTTTCTCTAAAAGCTAATCCGTGAGTTGATACATTACGAATTCTTGCCCCTGATGCTATAGTTTTGATAATTTTCACTTTTTTTAATTTCTTTTGGGGTTGTAACCCAATTACATGTTTGTATATAAAATTATAATTCTTATTCCGTCAAATCTTTTATATTATCAATTTTACTCTTTGAAGTTTGAAACATTTGCATAACACTTGGCCATTATTATTTAGATTAAACGCAAATATCTGTAAAAGTTGAGTTTAAAATCTGTACCCCTAAGTTCTGTCTTTGAAACTATTGACTTTCGGTTATGATGTCTTGAACATATGCCGATTTTAAAATACTAACATATAATCTTTTGTTTATGTTTAAATGCCTTGAACATTTTTTTAAATGCAAACGTTGATGATTGTTCAAGGAGGTTAAAGTTGATTTTCAATGACAGGCTTCTTTGAGCTGTGCGACAAGAAAGAGTAAGACTTTTGAAAAACTAAAGAGGCATGTTTGTTTATGCTAACAAGTTTGTGTTTATAGCTCTTTGTAAATCTGAAACTTATAGTTGGTGTGTTGGTTTGTTCTGGGATTAGTTTACTTATAGATCAATTATGTTTTAGTTAATGTTTCCACTACAATAAAAGTCCAAGAGGAAATGAGAACATTGCAGCTTATAGAATGTGCAAAATTATATATCAAATAATATTTTTTTTCTTTTCAATTTGTGTCCAACTAACAGGGAAGCCATTCCTTGGCAACTTTACAAGAGCACAGTCAAAATACTCTTGACTTAAAGTAATGAAGAGAAGCCAATTTAGATTTTTTATATTTGGTGCAAGTCTACTAGTCGCACTATTCGCTTCTATAGATTAAGTAACTTGAACATAGTTTGCATGGTCAACTTCTGGATTGTATGTGAAGGTGCGGAGGTATCATATGTTAATTAATGTCATTTTAACTTATGAGCAATTACTTGACAAGGGAATAGAAATGAGACATTTGTTTTTTTATAGTGAATTTTAGTTATTGAACAATCACTACACATGGGAATAGAAAACATTCTTCTTCCTTAATTCTTTTAAGGTTTGAAGTAGTCATTTCTA